GGTCAGGATATTGTTTTTCTTGACTAGTGCACTGTCTGGAGGCGAATAAATAAGTACACATTTATCATTCCCTCTCCATTTACTTCAAACTGGTTTTCCTAGTATTCGTGTTGACGATTAGAGGTGGGTTTTTCCTGATATGCAGCTCTCCAAGTCTTAAACATTAAAAAGAAAGTGAAGTTCGCCTTTGCTTGGTTAAAGAATTTGATCAATTTAAACTTTTGTTTGTTTTATAGTGAGACAAACCAGAAACACATCACAAATTTCATAAAAATGCATTGCTAATACTCGCTGCTATTGGTTTCCCTCCAAAATGATGTCCCTTCTTTTGAGGATGATGTCATTAGTGGGCTTTAGTTTGAATTTGCAAAAGACTTGGGGGGAAAAACAGGATGGAAGGAGATATTTGTGGAATAAAAAAAATGTAAAAAAATATGAGAATGAAAAGTATGAAACACTTTTCTCTTCATTTCAAGTTTTTCCATGTTAGTAAAATAAAGTTATTTTGGTCTTTTAGCAGGCCATTAGCATACAAATGCCATCCAAAGCAGTGATATGTGTATTCACTTAATTGTAATATTGTTATAAAAAAAAATCTTTTGAAATTGAAAAGTTTAATATGTTAGCCCAACTAAATAAATATCTGGTCCATTTTTCAAAAAGTGGAAAAACTGTACATGTTAAATGTGTAAATAAGCAGATTTTCTTTATTAATTTGTAATAAAAGAAAATGAAAAAAAAAAGATTTCCATTTTTTTCAATAACAAAACATAACATAATAGGTCACACTTTAGATTAGGATTCGATTATCACTATTAACTAAACATTAGCTACAACTTTTGCATCAATAAACTCCTAATTACTGCTTATTAATTGTTGTTAATGTAGTTGTTAGTTTAGGTATTGGGTGGATTTAGGGACAAGGTCATGCATAATAAGGCATTAATATGTGCTTTATTAGTACTAATAAACAGCCAAAATCCTACTAATAATATGAATGCTAATAAGCAACTAGTTAATGGTGAGAAATGGACCCTAAACTAAAGTATAATATAATATAATATATGTCACACTTTAGATTAGGATCCAATTATCACTTTTAACTAAACATTAGCTACAACTTTTGCATCGATAAACTCCTAATTACTGGTTATTAATTGTTGTTAATGTAGTTGTTAGTTTAGGTATTGGGTGGATTTAGGGATCTAGAACAAGGTCATGTATAATAAGGCATTAATATGTGCTTTATTAGTACTAATAAACAGCCAAAATCCTACTAATAATATGAATGCTAATAAGCAACTAGTTAATGGTGAGAAATGGACCCTAAACTAAAGTGCCATAAAAAATAATACAATAATATAAATGTCCAGTCTTTAGTATAAAAAGGTCCAGATATGAAATATTATTATTTTAAACATGTTAATTTGGTGTTAGACGGCTCCTAAGTTAACACACAAGGACTAAAAGATTTGATGTTGTCTTGGTTTCAGCTCGATTTCACGGAGACATGAACACGCAGTGCACAGGGGGAATGACCCAGGTGTGCTGTGTTTTGTTGGTTTCCGCAGCTTGATTTCACCAGTAAATTGAAAGAACTTGCTCCGAAAGTCAGCAGAGCATCAGAGCCAATGCTTTCGCATGTTCAATCCAAAAGAACATCAACGTCTAAAGGGAGAGTGCAGTTTTGTGATTAGCGTCCAGGTCGGTGTGATTTACTCGAGACCTGGACAGTCTCCACGCTCGGTTCTGCCAGGTTTCCACACAAGCTTGCTACTTTCCTTCCCTGATTTACGCAGCTACTGCGAACAGCTGGAAGATTTTTGCCACTCTGGAGTCGAAGACTCGCTTGATGGAGAGCTCATTCAACAGGCCTGTAAATCCATGAGGGAAAGATAAATCCTGGGCACTGGACTGAATACTCTCCGGAGTGGGAAAATTAAGCTTTCAGCCAGTGAATGTGTGAGAGGGGGGAGAAAAAAAATAGAAGGGTAAACGCCTGAAGAGGGGCAATCAACTGAATATGAGATTTGAGGAAAAGAATGGCATCGCTTTAATCATTTTGTTGATGATTAAAGAGCGGAAGTCATATATTAAATCTTCATGCCGCGGGTACAGTGTGTGTTAAACTGAGAAGCCGAGAATTCAACAGAGAGTTCACTGGTGTTTGATAAAGAAAGGTTGTTATGCAATGTTACACTTGCCCTTGCTGTACCGTTCTGAGTCATGAAATTGATAGAAGAAGAAAAAGCTAAAAGCAAAACCATCCACTGGAAAGACTACAGTACAGAGTGGCACACGAAATAGAGAATGAAGGAGAGAAACCGAGAGAGGAACTGACAGATATTCAGAAACAGGCACCATGGGACCATCTGAAGGAGGCCATTTTACCCTTTTAAATGAAGGGTGAAGGAATGGGGAAGTAAAAAAAGAGGCTTGGTTCCTCAAGAGACTCAAATCCTGTCTGATTGAGGTGGAGTGCTGGCAAGCAACGCTAGCAAAATGAAGCAAGACTGTCAAGGGCAACAGATGCGTCGTCATTTCCAGTTGACCCTGCTGGACACGTGCACTGCTACAGCATGATGATGCGGTGACAGCTCGGAGATTTGTTCTGGCACAGTGCTTTCAGTTTCACCAAGTGATTATAATCCACTCAACAAACAGCCGTTTGGGATCCATGAGCGCTTTGATTCAAGCACGGCAGATAAAGATGTCAAAACTTCTAGGTCGGGTTTTGACGTGCGTTTCCTTAAGCCGGCTTCAGACTTTTTTTTTGTTATTGTGTCAGATTATGCATTTTTGACTCAACCACCAGGCGCAATGAGGCACGACGCAAGTGTTTTTTTGCTAGTTTCAGCCCGACGCAGTTATCATTTTTACGTCCTGCTTATATAGCAAATTCATTCGCGCTCATCTGTGCACCCATGGGCTGCTGGTCTGAAAGCGAGTTGTGTTCAGGCACATTGTTGGCGCGTTTCTATTTTGAAGGAACTGAAATAGACTGCACCATTGACCAACAAAGTCAATGGCGCAATACTTCTTTGTTACTTAATAAGCGTGTTAGTACAACCCGTTCTCATCCCAAGGCGTCATATACTGACACTTTTGCCAATGCGTATACATCCAACGCACATGGCACCCTTTAGCGTCACATATGTGATGCAGATATATATGGACCAGAAGTCGCCTCCTAGTGGTCCAACCCTAACCCTACCCCAGACCTAAACCTACCATAACCGAAGCGCGTTATGGTAGGCGTATGTGGCGTATGTTCGCACGCTTAAACCTTGCGTACGAGCAGATCCGCTTCCTCGCTTGAGAAACGGTCAGTTTTTCTGCTTGTAATGTAAATAGCAAATCCACCATGGCGCGAGAGTAACTGGCTTTTAAGGGGAATGAAAAATGAGACACGCGACGCACCTACATTTGAAATAACGAAATTTTGGTCGGCAGGAAAAATGGTCCAACGAACCGTTCGGTTCAAAAATGCGTACCGAAAACTGAACCGAAAGCCTCATACCGAACGGTTCAATACCAATACGTGTATCGTTACACCCCTACACTATACACGCGATAAAACAATCAATTCTCAGGTCTCGTCGCACAAACAGATTGTGGCTGATATTATGTAATCTGAGCCCGGCATTAAAAGCTTATTCAGTGACGATGACTAAATAAAACTAAATATGTGAAGACTTTAATCCAATCTGCAGGAGTAAAGGACAAGAGCCACTTTACTAATCTTAAGGTTTAGCCACTCGGTGTTAGAAACCTGTTATCAATACTGTCAAAATGTGAATTCCATTTTCCATTTTAATAAGGTCTGCCATTCCCCATTATATGAAGAGGATCTATTAAGTAACTATAATTATGACCTGAAAGGATTAATAACACACTGGGACATTCATATTCAATTTGGCTAGGAAAATACATCACTCTGTGTCCAATTATTGGCTTTTGCTTGAGCTCAAGTACAATTAACACAAAGAAGGAAGCATTTGCATATGGTAATTATGTAAAAATGCCAGCTTTCTGACACATTTAACAAATGTCGATGCTTTGGAACTTGTGAGAATCCAATAATTGATATAAGAGAGGTTGCCAGCCTTTAAGTGAAAGAAGAGATTAGCACACAAATATGCAACTGAAACAAATGTACCTCACATGATAACCTTATTACCCTGCAAAAAAGGTTTCTAGTTTGTCTTTGTTGATTGCCAACAAAGGTAAATCAATAAGATCTTTTGTGAGACAAAATGATTGTACAAACCTCCACCATGAATCTCTTCAAGCCAATAAAGGGTCAGCACCCAAGAATGTTGTTTCAAACCTGAATGGCATTCTCTCTCTCTCTCTCTCTCTCTCTCTCTCTCTCTCTCTCAACAAAGGTAAAACAAAGGCTTGTGTTTTGCAGAATAAAGGAAGCCATAAAGGTTTGAAACAACAAGAGGGTTAGTAAATTGTGACAGAATTTTGATTTAAGGGTTAAAAAAAAAACTTGGAGAAATGCCATTTATACATTTGCATTATGCAAAATATGCAAAAACAAGAACAAAATTGCATTGCATTGCAAGACTACACTGAATGCAGTGACACGACTAGGCAGCTGAAAATGTTGTTCTTTTGCCATTTTCAAATGCAAATTTTGCTTTGTTGACCACTGAACAGAAAACACCATCAATGACAGGACTTTTCCAAGAAAATATTACTGTACAAATAACCAAAATTAATCTATTCCTAAAGGCCGCAGAAATGGTTAGACAGCATGTTACGGATTAAAAGACCTGCTCCAATAACTGAATATGTCACAGACACTGTAGAGGCAAAGATTCAACAAAGCGCTTTGACAAGTAGACCCTACGGACACTGACAATACACAGAGTCAGATGAGCCAAACGTGTCGCACTCATTCCTACAAGGAACTGTTTCGCAAATCGCAACAAAGATGAAGAACAGTGCTAAGTAAGGCATAATTTGAACATCTGAAATGCATATCTTACCTTTAAGCTGATCTGCAACCACACTTGGTCCGATCCTTTCTGTGACTCGGCCGTCTTCTCGCAAGTACCGGTCATCCAAGAACTTGTCCGTGGCTTCCGACAGGTGAACCTTCCCGGCGACACCCAACTGCTCCATGAGATTGGCTAAGTTGACATCATTGGACCAGACGTCAAATTTAAAGCGTTTCATGCCGAGGATCCCGCAAAGCACGGTGCCCGTGTGGACGCCGACACGCATGTTGACCATTTCCTTTTTTTCCTGACAGAACTGCTCAATGGCCTGGATCATCCCAAGCCCCATCTCCACGCAGCAGTAGGCATGGTCCTCTCGAGGCTCGGGACAACCGGCCACACAATAGTAACAGTCTCCCAGCGTGCTGATCTTCTCGCAGCACGTGAGCTCGCACAGGTGATCGAAGCGTCCAAATAAGTCGTTGAGGAGTCCCACCAGGGCATGCGCCGACTTGTTGGCACTCATCTTGGTGAATCCCACAATGTCCGCGAACAGGATGCTGACCGGCTCCATGCGTTTCATGTTGAAAGGCCGGAAGATGATCTGACCCCGAGGTATCGAGGTCTTCTTGCGTTTGGTGCTCTTAGGGCTGGAGGCACCCGCAATAGCCGCTCCCGTCGAGTAGCGCTTCACCGAATTGTCATTGTCGTCATCGCCCTGCTTCATAAGCTCATCCGCCACCCTACGAGGCATCACCGAGTGAATCATCCGCTCCTTCAGGGCCTTTTCGACCTCCAAGTCTTTCCCATGCATGATGGCTTGGCCGACCTTGAGGAACGTGCTGCGTGAACGCACTTCCGACATAATGAAAAGGTGAATACCAATGATGTGGGCGCAGACATGCAAAATTGCTCTTCCGGGGATCAGCCAGTAGAGCGTTTCCAAATGTTCCTCAGTGGAATTCCTCCATCCACTGGGTTGAATCAAGTGCATCCAGCCAAGCGTCTCAAAAAGCACTGAGTAGAGCAGGCCTAGCAGTAATGAAGCGTAAAGACGGACATGGAGGAAACTGTAGAGCAACGAAAGCACCTCCATGCCTAGAGAGAAGGTGCCAACCGGGGACAAGCAGGGGGCTACTGGATTTCCACTTCGGGTGGCTTCAAACGTCGTGTTTTTATCCTCGGCGCCACTGAAGTCGCCTGCATCGTCTTCATCCTTCAAAGGAGGCACATTAAAGTCACTAAAGCCTGACGTTTGGATCTGAGGTGCAAGAGTGAGGGCAAATGTCACTACAATGAGCAACAGCGAGGCTTGATTGTAGCAGTGGGTGTAGAAGCGGGTGAACGTGAAGACGAACAGGACAGAACAGAGGAGTAGGAAGGAGGCCGTGGGCAACAAGAAGGCAGTCTGTTCACATCGGTTAGCATTAGCGATGAAGAACAGCCCCCAGAGGAGGCTGGCGGCCGCCATGTAAAACAGCACACAGCGGAAACGTCTTTGCGTCTGAGGGAAGCAGCGCTCGCGGCAGGCTTCCTCCAGAATGTTCGAGTCGAACTTGGGGTTCCAGAAGTGTCCGGCCGACCTCTCAAACAGCTGCGGCATCTTCCTCTGAGACCTGAGGCCTTTGATAACCGGCTTGCGGATGGTAGATTCGCCAGAGCTACAGCTGGAGGAGATACTGTACTTGCAATGTTTGGAGCCCCCAATGATACTACACATGGCGCTGGCGCCCAGACTCCCACGCTGCTGTTTGTGCGGTTTGGTGCTGCTGATACGCACAGACACAGCACCATCACCACTCGACTCACAGCTTACTTCGCTGTTGTGATACAGCAGATGTTGAGGAGAAGCCATGATACTGTTCAGATGAGAGTCGATATGGGATAAATGCAACAACAAAAAAAGTGGTCGGATGGAAAAAGAATCAAGTAATTTGAGTCAAACAACTCTGACGTCTAGATGGCAAATGGTTTACTCATGCATTTAGACAGTTCCAGTATTTTAAGTTCGGTTATTTCACCTCATGACGTCAATAGCGCATTCCTCTTCTTTTCTGTCCTTCTTGACGCACATGGGTTTAGAGAGGTTTATCCAAGATGCATGGAATCCTTCAACATACTACAAGTGAGTCAAATTGTTCTTCCCCTTGTTAGTTAAGTTACATAATAACACCACAAAACTGAAGGCTCAAGTCAAGGACCGTTTGCTTTGACTCCTTGGGGAACTCAAGTTTTCACTATAAAAGAGCCATTTATTTAAAAAATAAATAAAAGTCTACTGTATGGTACCATTTAAAGGACTGTGCAGCAGGCATGCTTTAAAGAAAATTATGGTATTTCTCATATCCATCACAGTCCATGCATAAAAAAGTCCAAAAACTCTAGATGAAATAAACAAACATTCAAAAAGTCAAACTTCAAGAAGGAAATGAGTCTAAACTAAAAAACATGATTTTGGTACTTCACAAGAAAAATAATCCGGTATGGTAAAGCTAAAGCTTCCCCCTCTTTTGTTCTTTAGATTAGGAATACTCGTTCATTGGAGACTCGGCGTCACTGCTGTCAAAAAAACAAACAAACAAAAAAAAAACATTTAAAAATCATTTAATTTCCCCTCCCTCGCCTGTAGCACCGACCTTTCCCGAGTTCCCACTCCAGATCTTGCGGGCGCTTTTATTCCGAATTATCGGGTTTAAAAATCATGGATTAACGCCACAAAAACGTAGGCTATCATTCAAGGTGCATAAATGGCTAAATGTCCAGTATATTCACATAGTCTCAAAACAATATGATTATATTTCAGGTTAGGCTGCTTGAAATCATCTTATGCCATTTGTATCAATGCATGTAAAACTTCAGCGCTTCAAATGAAGATTGAATTCACCTTGTTGGTCAGAATTCAGTTAAGTTTCCATTTATTTTACAGAGGCAGAAAGTCTGCACTTCTCTCTCTCCAAAGACTCACAGTGCTAAAGTGCCTCTTTGGTTTCTCTTCAGGACTCATTTCCACGGGCAGCTTTTCCTGTGATATCCAAACAAATCTCTTTCTCAGCCGGTTCCTCTTTTTTCCACATCAGAGCTCAGCTTGGCAGTCCTGACACATGCTAGTGTCTCGCGCGTATCATAGTTGACTTGTGTGTTCTCGCGCGGCTCGGGTGCGCCGGTGGCCATCAGACATCAGGATGATCTCCATCTGTATTCGCAATCCGACGCGGTGTCTGTACAAGTCCAACAGACACTGGAAATACATTTAGAGGTGGGGATAGACGCGTGCGTGTGCGTGCACGCTCCGGACTGAGAACAACAGAAGGGAGGCGAGCACGCATTCATATGGAGGTGGGCTGTTCTCAAACCGCAGTGTTCGCGTCCGAGCGCGTCACCGAGAGCTGTCAAAAGGAAAGGGGGTGGAGGTTCCAATCAATTTGATGTGTAATGCCGGAAAGGGGGGTCACAGCTGTCATATTGAGAGCAATGTGTCATCTTGACCAATTTAGCGTTGAAACTTTGATATAAACAGATATAAACGTTATATCTAATCTTATATGTCTCTGTTTTGCTTTTCATTGTTTATTTGACAGACAGACAAACAGACAGACAGACAGACAGACAGATAGATATATAGATGGATGGATGGATGGATGGATGGATGGATGGATGGATGGATGGATGGATGGATGGATGGATGGATGGATGGATGGATGGATGGATGGATGGATAGATAGATAGATAGATAGATAGATAGATAGATAGATAGATAGATAGATAGATAGATAGATAGATAGATAGATTGATTGATTTTAGGTTTATAAAACATTTTCCACAATGTTTTCTGTAATATTCACCAAATCCACCAATTTTGTAATTAAATGCTGATCCCAGTTTATGAAATTATTCCCAAAATAAACCATAAGTCTTTAATCCGCATGTTTTAATTAATAGAGTCTCTTTACTCGGTTTCTGTGTTGTCCTCACATCATGGCGCAGCAGTGGCTGAATCAAAGTGATTATGTTGTTTTGGAAAGCCAGCGTGTGGCTTAAGTTGCTTAAAAACCTTCAGAAGACCGTTTCAAAGGAATTCCCTGTAGAACTGCAGCTGTGTGTATCCCTAGAGCAAACCGGGTCGTGCAGGTTTCAAACAGAAGTGCACTGATCCTTCTTAGTTCTGTAAATTATACTCTGGGGAGAAAAAACACATCTTTGGAAAAGTAAAGAATGTCATGAAATTCTTAAGATTCCAATCCACTCAAACTTGTCAAGAACATGTCCAGGTTATATTTCATCCCAAAATCAAATTAACTGTTATTTTCCTAGAAGAAAATGTGAAGAACCATAATTTAGGATCACGATTAAAGTGGAAGATGTTGGATCATTATTTTCATGACAATTAAATACATGTTTTCCCTCAATAGACAAAAAAAAATCTTATTCTTATAACTGTAATACAATATATGAAGACTTCAGATGCAAAAAAAAAGTCCATTTGACATTTTTCTTTTTTCTATTTTTTATTAGGCTCCTATGTTTAGGTTCAGAAATGCACTTTAATGGCAATGAAAAGCTAATGAAATGTCAAAAATGTGACTTGAAAACATAAAAATGCACATTTAAAAGAAAAATGTCAGACAGAATGTCTTCATATGTATATATATATATATAATTTAGATTTTTGGGGTGAAATATGACCCAGACATGAGACATCTATTTGTGAGATTCCCCCATTAAAAAATCTGTTTATGGGATTCAATTACCATGACTGAAATCTTGAAAAACAGCATTCCCTTGAACATGTTCCAGTCCCCAGTCATAGTGCACTTGCACACCTCCCTTTGAGCTGGAGTCACGACCGGCCCCGAGCTGCTGCAATGCAGCTTCCAGACCTCTTCTCCAATCACATCTGAGCGCAAGGCAAACTTCAGTCTACAATCTGAAATGTGTATATACCGGTATGTGTGAGTGTGAGTGTGACTTCACACGCTTTCAGAGACAGCAGCCCTAATGTTGTGGGGGCTTCCCTCACTCTGGGGGGAATATAGCACAGTCTGTTTTGAAATATGTGATCACTGAACTGTGTCCTAGCACAGGCGCACAGACCCCATTATTAACTCATTAAGATTAATAATGTTTGGCGACGGGACACTGGCTTCATTCTGTTATTGAATGCGGCGGCCAGATTGCACATTTGTTTCTCGAGCAGTGCAGCAAAATGAGCTGTTACGTCTTCAATTCAAGTTAAACACAGAATAACATAGATACAGGCGTACAATGAGGAAATCTTGATTACAATCACTTCATTAGAAACATGAAAGGCATCAGCAACCCAAATTACTTCAGTAATGTGACATATTTCAGAGTGAAACAGCATATTCATGCAGGACGGCACTTGATACTATCCAACAGAAATTGGTGTGGTGCTTTTAAGCCTGTGTGTCATATCAAAATGAAGCTAAAAGTGTTTTCTAGGGAATTTACATATGGCAGATGCTTTTATGTACACTGCATTCAAGGTAGGCCTATATAAATACTGTATATCAGCCCTTGGAATCAAACCCATGACCTTAACTATTTATGTGCTGCTGTTTGAGATACAATGATGCTGGATTGTGGAAAATTACTTCTTTTTCAATTTCAAAACTTTATTATTTATGCTTTTGGTAAACGCTTTTATTCAAAGAGAATTACGTGGTATTCAAAGTATAGATTTGATCAGTTAATGCATTCTCTGGGAATCAAACCCATAGCCATTATATGTTTACAGGAAAAGACATAAGCTGTTTTCTATTAGTACCATTAGTCACCTTCATTAAACTAACATTACATTGAATTACTGTTAATTTATCAGTCATTTATTATAGAAAGGATGCATAACAACACCCTAAAACAATGCCTCAATAGCTATTTGAATAGGCTATTGGTTTTATACCTCAATGAGGTCTATAATGGAGATCCATTATTGCAGCTTTCTACCATGCTAATAATGCTAACTAGCTAAACACTGACAACCAAAAAGGTTATCAAATTTGGTGGGAAAAAAATACTAAATGTTATAAATGGAGTTTATATTTTTTATGTTGACGTTATCCCATAATCATTTATTCTCCACTGGTTGTTTCAATCAAAGAGTCAAATCTCTTCTCAGCTCATTCATTTTCTGCTGTTGAGTGTGGCTAAATGAACATAAACTGCTACTGTTTCATAAAGATCCTACTATTTAAACTCTTTGTCGCGTTTTATTCACTTTCATGGCGAGGCCAGTTTCTGTTGTTTTGTGCTTTCGTCAATGCAATAGCAATTTCACATTCTGTGCTCACTCTAGTGGACAACTACTGCAACTTCAACATGAGACTCACGGCTAACTAAAAGTGTTAAAAATACTTTAATTTCACTTGAATAGGTGTAAGGTTCTTGAGAGTGTATAGCAAGATTTCAAGATGTGTGAGTGTTGCACAAACGGTTCAGGAAGTGTTGCTCTCGGGCGAATTACAGTCATTTCAATAAGTTTTGTGTGAGGAAAAAAAAAATATTCAGCACGTATATTTCGCTCGTGTTTAAATTGGTAACGCTTATTTTCCTGACAGAAACCTGCTTTAAAAGTGACTTTCGTATGTGCAGTCAGTGCTTAAATCGCAATCACTAGGTGATCCTGTTACATCACCTTAGTTTTGACTTGTCAACACCACTTATTTCGCCCCCCCTCTGAAACAAACCACCTGCTGTGTTAGAATAACATAATGCTCAGGGATTGAGCAATTTACACATCGTCTGCAACTCTGCATATTTTGTGAGCTTCAGCATTTATGACGACCCCCCTATGATCTCCCACCTGTCTCAGAAAACATCTGCTAAGCATCTTTCGACCCTTACACGCGGTTAAAGTCTCTGACAGTGACACCAGGGTTTATCTCGTGTCTATTTTTGGAGATGGAAACAAAAAATGACCTTGAGGGAATAGACAGGTCTTTTAAGAGATCAGAGTGATAACCCGACTCCCAAAAATAACACTTTATTGCAGTTTTGTCTCTCCCACAGAACTGCATGGTTTGCACTGATGATGACTAACTTATATAAAAATGAAGCTTTTTGATGTCTGTCTAGATATAATCTAGAGATCAATGAATATACCCCATAAGACCTGGCTGTTAGTTGTGGAAATAGATTGGTTTTTATTGTGGTATACAAAGTGGATAAGTGGAAATGTGAGAGAAACCAAACCTCTCTGTCTCATAACATGCAATGTAAAAATGCTAATAGCTTATCAATATCTCAGGAGAGATAAATAATCATCCATTCACTAACCTATAAAGGTGAACAAATCAACCCAAAAGACACTGGAAAAAAATGCACAACTGTATACATTTTTCTTGTTGCATCAATGTTGCTTTGTTCACATTCAAGGCAGCTGATACCCACTTTCAGTCTCAGGTTATTTTATTTTTGCTATTTTTTACATTTTTTAAGTGTGTCAGACATTTTTTTTTTCCATGAGTACACATTTTCCCTCCAAAACTGCAGACAGTTTATAAAAGTAGTGCGGAAAGAGAGGAGAGCTATTTTGGCGCGCTCTCCTCACATTCACAAGAAACTCCGCCTCAAGACTTCACAAGACCCTCCCTCCACCCAATCCCAGAGTCCCCTGCCCTCAAACGCCCCCACACACAACCTCTTTACGCAAAAAAAGTCCCGTGAGATCCGTCTCCATTGACTCGAAACGGACCCATGGCAGGAACAGGATTAGCTCCACTGCTCCTCCACGGTTTGTTCGCTCCACGTCCCTCCTTTCCTTCTCTCGTCCTCCTCCTCGGTCTCCCTCCCGCCTGGTTTTCTTCTCTCAGTTTCGCCGGTAGCGGTTCTTGGGCTTTTCCCCACAGCCGGTGGCCTCACAGGAGGACAGGGTTGGGTTCTTCCCGGAGTTGATGCTGCCGAGCAGGGCGGGCAGTTCGTTGGTGATGGCGCGCTCGATCTTCTCCAAGAGGCAACCGCCCATGTAGGAGCACTGAGCGGACAGCTGCTTGAAGCTGCTCACCGAGTTGATCCCGAAGAAGTCGCGGTAAGCGTCTCGGTTGGGCAGGTCGAACTTGCTGACGTTGGTTTTGGCCAGGATGGACTTGAAAATGTAGAACTTGTCAGGATCGTCCACGATCTCTTTGAAGACCAGCTCGGGGTCGCTGAAGAAGCTCATCTTGTCCTTGAAGGTCTGCACATAGCGGTCCACCAGGAGAGCGTGAATGCGAACGCGGATGCCATGCTGGCGGATGAAGGCGATTTTGTTCTCCAGACGGTTCTCGATCACCTGGTTCAAGTCTTCCAGCAAGGATACTTCCTCGCGTTTGAAGAGCTCGCGGCTGGTGTCCGGGGCGTAGTCGTAGGGCCAGAAAGAGCTGACGTAGACACGTGGGGGTTCGGTCACGTTAATGAGGGGCGCCAGACTCCAGAAGAGAGCGCCGTAGACACGCATGAGGTCCTGGGTCACCAAACTGTCGGCCTTATTGAGGATGATACGGATCTGGGACTCCCGACCTTTCAGCTGCCGGAAGAGCATCTCCAATTCGAGACCGACGTCCAGCTTGGTGGGATCGAAAACCACGAAAATGAGGTCTGCGCGATCGATAAACCACTGGCACACATCGTTGAATGGGTAACCTTGAAGTGAGGGAAGAAATATTTAAAAAAGTTCATTACGATTCATAGATTAAAATGTTAAATACTGGGTATCCATAGGGGTTTTTTAAACTAAATGTGTACAGGTTTTTAAGACCTGTTCAAATAATTAACAAAAAATACATCCAACGAGGACTTTTTTAAGTCCTTAATTTAATTTAAGCCCAAATTTAAGACATGTTAATTATTTAAGACTTTTCTTATACCATTTCGAACGCGTTCTCATCCTAGGGTGTCATATAGTGACGGTTTTGAAATTTCGTCTAAATCCGACGCACATTGCACCATATAGCTTCAATATAACATGCACAGAGCTTCGTTCGGTTATGGGTAGGTTTAGTTCTGGGGTAGGTTTAGGGTTAGACCACTAGGAGGCGCCTTCTGGCCCATATATATCTCTGCGTCTCATATTGACGCTAAAGGGTGCCATGTGCGTTGGATGTAGACGAAATGTCAAAAGAGTCAGTATATGACGCCTTGGGATGAGAACGGGCTGACCATTTCATGTATGTACACATTTTTATGACCTTACATTTGAGTTTAGGACCTGCAGGAACCCTGAAATAACAGGAATCTATGGAGGTGCTGGAGAAGACTCGTACCTCTCTCCTGCTGCTTGCGGTTCTCAATGATTCCAGGTGTGTCCACGAAGGTGACCCTCTCCAGGAGCTTATGGGGCATCTCAATGCCAACCAGCTTCTCCAAAAAGTTCTGGCCAAACTTCTCCAGCGGGGAGAAGGAGCGAGAGCTGTCGGCAGCCATGACGATGCCCTCCACGGTGCGGATCTTCTCGCCGTGCATGATGACGGTAAACTCTGAGGTAGTGGGTTCAGCACCTGGAACAACAGAAGGTGATGTGAGTTGATGATGTACATTTGTAATTTGTAATCAAACTTGAACAGCAGCTTACCTGTGTACAGCTGGTATGGGGTGTCCAAAAGACCCAACAGATAGTTGATCATGGAGGACTTGCCCACACTCCAGGGTCCAAGGAACAGCACCATGGGTTTGGAGGTGATTTCTCCATCTGTGTGAGAGAGAGAGAGTTGGAGGACAATGGAGTTTAGTATAAAAAGAAAACAAATCTGAGACCAAGAGCAAAAACCACAAACCACCTTGAAATTCTATCACGAATGAAAGCAAAAAGACATCATAATATGCATACACTCTTAAAAATAAAGGTTCTTTATTGGCGTCGAAGATTCCATGAAGAACCTTTAACATCCATGGAATCTTTCCAAGATTCTTTAGAATTTATTGAAAGATTCGTTGGGGAACCAGTATCGCTTTGAAAACCCCCTTTGGGAACATTGATAGTGTATAGCAAATTTACATATTCAACGATTAATTGGTTATTATTGAAAACTTTGTCTCCGTCAGGGAAAAGTTACTTTGTGAGGGTTTCTTTACTCGTTTCTGATTCTTAAAGAGAGTTCACCCAAATATTTACTCACCGTCATATTGTTCCAAACCTGTATGAATTACATATTTAAGTACTGAGTAATATTAAGCAATTGCATAGGGTTAGGGTAGGATTAGGATTTGGTTGAGGGTTAGTTGCATGTAATTATGCATAATTGACTCTTATTATGTACATGTAAAATAAAGTGTTACCCAATTTCTTTCTACTACTCACAAAATAATATATTTTTGAAGAACGTTTGTACCCAAACAGTTGATGGAACCCATTGACTTCCATAGTATTTTTTTTCCATACTATAGAAGTCAATGGTGCCCATTGTTTGGGCACATTCTTCAAAGTATCTTCTTTTGTGTTCAGCTGAAGAAAGAAACTCATTCAGGTTTGGAACAACTTGAGGATGCGTAAATGATGACAGAGTTTACATCGTTTGGTGCAATACTGGGTTGTTTGAACCCAAATTTGGGTCAAATATGGACAAACCCAAATGTTGGCTTAAAAATAAAAAATTCAACTTTCAACTGTATTTTTTTTTTTTAAATTTTTAACCCAACATTGGGTTTGTCCATATTTGACCCAAATTTTGGGTTCAAACAACCCAGCATTTTTAGAGTGTGAACTATCCCTTTAAAGCATGTCGTTGGGTAATTTGGTTTCATTTTTGGGGGGATGTTTCTCTTTGACCTTAGACCTCAAAGTAAACTACCATCACACTTGCGTGCACATTCATGGAAAAGTCAAAGAAACAGCAAGCGTTAAACGTTACGCGTTAAGACTGATGAATGCGCCATGCAACATTGCTAAGTGCAAAAAAATCATTAAGGACCCAAAACAATTCTTAAATATTGTTGTGTGGATGCATGTTTGCATTCTCTAAACCCATGCCAAACCTTTATGTGGGAATGTTTTTGTATCAAAATCCTTCCTACTAGTTATCTAGAAAGCTTTATAATGAATGAACTTTTTTTTCACTCCATCTTCGGCCAATAACATTTAAGACAGATTTCATCTATCCCTCACTGGCTCATTTTCATTAGCATCACATTAAGTTTTAACACTACCATTCAAAAGTTTAGGGTCAATAAGGTTTGCTAATATTTTTGAGAGTTTTTTATCCTCACCAAGGCCGCATTTATTTGATTAAATTACTGTTTTTTTTATTGTAATATATTTTAAAATGTAATTTATTCCTGCATTTTCAGCATCATTAGTACTCCAGTCTTCAGTGTCACATGAAATTATTAATATCCTGCTTTTCTGCTCAAAAAACATTTCTTATTATCAATGTTGATAACAGTTATATCATTTTAAAGTCATTTTAAACTTGCATGTGAGTGCAATTTAATTTTTGATGAAAAATACACAAAATGAACATTTGTTTGTGACTATATTATATTACACATTTACATGGGATACAGAACATGTGTTTTGTGATCAGCAACTTTGATAGTTCTTAAAGGGATACTCCACTTTTTTTTTTTGGAAATAGGCTCATTTTACCACTCCCCCAGAGTTAAACTGTTGGGTTTTACCGTTTTCGAATATATTCAGACGATTTTTTGATATTTAGAAGAATATCAGTAACCAGACAGTTTCTGGTCTCATTGACTTCCATAGTAGGAAAAAAATATACTATGGAAGTCAATGAGACCAGAAACTGTCTGGTTACTGATATTCTTCTAAATATCAGAAAAGCGGCTGAATGGATTTGAAAATGGTAAAACTCAACTGTTTAACTCTGGGGGAGTGATAAAATGAGCCTATTTACAAAAAAAGGTGGAGTATCCCTTTAAGAAAATATAGAGGAAATGAACCTCAATGAAAAGTCACTGTCATTATGATCCAACAGCCATGTATCATAATCATACAAATCAATAAACATGATCAGAGCTGAACTTCCCCATCACTTTCATCTGTTTTATAAGAAGAAAATGTCTAATGAACGAGCTCTGACTCTTTTGTGAGGACAGAATAAGAGTTCTTTGGATAGAGAAACTTATTTCATGTTGATTAACTGTGTAATTTCTCTGAAGTGCTGGAGAACAGTGCAAACACAATCGCTCAAGGCCCCTCAGCACTACCTAGTGTACAGGTCAAGAAGCTCCACGAGCGGCACAGAAGCTGCGAGTTTCAGTCCAGTCATACCAAACAAACCCAGAGAGCCAGCATCAAACATTCAACACCCTCAATAATAATAACACAGTCTCATCCCAAAAAGTCAAAAGTCTTGGGACGTCTTTTGTCCATATGTCAATATTCGCCCTTTTAGGGCCCCCTTAAACGTCGGTAGATGGCGATCCCGGGCCGTCATACAACTGACGCTTTACCTTTAACGTCAGTTAGGTTTAGGGTTAGGTTTAGGGTTAGGTTTAGGTCTGGGGTAGAGTTAGGATCCCATAACCTCATCTACCGACGTTTAAGGGGGCCCTAAAAAGGCGAATATTGACGTATGGTCAAAAGACGTCCCAAAACGTCAGTTATATGACGTCTTGGGATGAGACCGGGTTGAAAATAAAGGCCCTTTATCGGAATCGATGAACCTTTAACATCCATAAAGGACAGAGGGGGTTGTTTAAATGTTCTTCACACTAGAAAAACATGGTTATTTTTTACAATAGTTTACTGTAAGGTTCTTTGCTAAACCAAAAATGTTTTTTCTATGGCATCGATAAAGGGATACTCCACTTTTTTTTTTTTTTTTTTTTGGAAATAGGCTCCTTTTACAACTCCCCCAGAGTTAAAGGGATACTCCACTGTTTTTTTTTGTTTTTTTTCATATTAAACTATGACATTACTATAGTATTGTATACGCCTGAAAATAGTCTAATTTGCACAGACTGAAGTACAGTCTAATTTGCACAGACTGTTTTGTAGCATTTATGTCTGGTAATATATATATATATATATATATATATATATATATATATATATATATATATATATATATATACACGTATATATATATATATATATATATATATATATATATATATATATATATTAGAGCTGTGCAAAAATTAATTGCGATTAATCGCATCCAAAATAAAAGTCTGTGTTTACATAATATATTTGTGTGTGCCGTATATAATTATTTTGTATATATAAATACAAACACATGTATATATTTAAGAAAATGTGTTATATATAAAATATTTATATAATATAGATTATGTATTTATATATATATATATATATACAGAATTTAAGCACAAATAATTCTTAAATATATACATGCATGCATAGGTATTTATGTATACAAAATAATTATATACAGCACACACAAATATATAATGTAAACACAGACTTTTATTTTGGATGCGATTAATCGCAATTAATTTTTGCACAGCCCTAATATATATATGAAGAGTTCAGATGCAAAAGCCTCTAAATGCCATTTGAAATTTTCTTCTAGAATGATCATTTTTATCAAACTTGTATATTTAAGTTCAGTAATTTCACTTAAATGGCAATGATAATTACCTATTAATTGTTATTTAAGTAAAATTACTGAACTTAAATATGCAAGTTTGATAAAAATCATCATTAAAGAAGAAAATTTCAAATGGCATTTAGAGGCTTTTGCATCTGAACTCTTCATGTATATATATATATATATATATACTGTGTGTATGTGTGTGTGTGTGTGTGTGTGTGTGTGTATATATATATATATATATATATATATATATATATATATATATATGAAGAGTTCAGATGCAAAAGCCTCTAAATGCCATTTGAAATTTTCTTCTTTAATGATGATTTTTTATCAAACTTGTATATTTAAGTTCAGTAATTTCACTTAAATAACAATTAATAGGTAATTATCATTGCCATTTAAGTGAAATCACTGAACTTAAATATACAAGCTTGATAAAAATGATCATTCTAGAAGAAAATTTCAAATGGCACTTAAAGGCTTTTGCATCTGAACTCTTCATATATATATATATATATATAATTTCAGTGTTTTGTTGGCTGATTCATACCTAGATGCCCAACCCAATGATGATAATGGTAATAAGTCACATGATAATGACAGCATGTTTACATCCAAATTACATTAACAAACATAGGTTTTTAACGCTCATGAAGTAACTACTTAATCAAAATAAATACCTAAGAAAGTGTGTGATTTCAGGCACATCCATCTACTCTAAACGTTTTGGGGTCAGTATAGGATTTTTTTTCTCTTCTGCTCATCAAGTCTGCATTTCTTTGATCAATAATTCAGTAAGAACAGTTATATTGTGAAATATGATTACAATTTAAAATAACTTTGTTTACTATTGTAATATACTGTAAAAATATATATATTCCTGTGATCAAAGTAACATTTTCAGCATCACTGATCATCATGATCCTTCAGAAATCATTCTGAGATTAGGATTTGATGCTCAAGAAACATCTCTCATTATTATACTAACAGCTGTGTGCATTCTTTTCAGGATTCTTTGATGAATGGGAAGTTCAAAAGAACAGATGTATTTGAAATAGAAATCTTTTGTGACATAATAATGGACTTGTGATCAATTTCATACCCCAGCTGAATAGAAGAATTGAAAAAAATAAACAAAATTCTTACTGACACCAAACTTTTGTACATTTGGTCAAGATTAATTCGTCAAGCACTGTTTCTTGCACTCGCCAATCCACAGAACGATGTTATCAAATAAAACCTTTGATTGATCAAATGATTCTCCCACATGAACAAAGACCTCGATTAGTGTTCAGAATTAATTCAGTTAGACAATTTGATTAGTCGGATGAAGAAAAACAGTCACCCAAATCTGCTGGTTGAACTTTTGGCATGTGTCTTTGGATGATTTGAAAGAATTAGCTTCATCTTCTCCATAAAAATAAACTAAACTGTGCTGTGTAGAGTGTCTGGATGTGGACTCGGTGATTAGTGCTGATTGAGAGCTGCTGGTAATTGGGCAGATGATCAGAGACGATGCAGGCGGTGCCATGCAGTGAAGCGCCCCGTTACCCACCTGTGGCAGAGTCCCCCAGTGTGCGTCCAGGATAGGCTGTTTAGTGACGGGTGATGTCGGGAGACAGGGATGAAAATGACAAGTGTGAGGAAAAGTGCAGGCAGAGGACGAAGAGAGATAGAAAGAGGGGGGGATGCGAAGGGGGTCACAGAAAGAGATTAAGGAGGAGGACAGAGAGAGACACTTTTCCTGTGAGGTTTGATGCTCGTCCAGATACATTTACTGATTTATCAGATCACACGCTGATTATTAGAAGAGACCGTCCTGTTACTGAACACAAATTATATTCGTATGAATGAATGAATGATTTGTGTGTGTGTGTGTGTGTGTAGAACAAGATTTTTTATTTATAGGCAATATAAATTGGTGAATTTCACAAAACCTTTCTAAACTAAATAAATATATTATATTGCGTGTACAAGACAAAAGCTTTATAAAAATATAATATATAAATGGGTGAATCTTATGAATGAACTAATGCAATTAAAGGATTAATGCAATTAAAAAAAAACAAATAAAAAAAAACATTAGCTGATAATTTCACCCCCATGTCATCCAAGATGTCCACGTCTTTCTTTTTTCAGTCGAAAAGAAATTAAGGTTTTTGATGAAAACGTTCCAGGATTTTTCTCCATATAATGGACTTCAATGGGAACCAAAAGGTTCAAGGTCCAAATGACCGTTTTTAGTGCATGCTTCAAAGAAAAACTTTTCATAATTCTCCTGTTCAAACTCGTTCATCAAAATGAACGAATCTTTTTGAGTCATTTTGTTCATTCCACGAACAAAATGACTTGTAAACAGATTCGTTCAATTTGATGAACGAGTTCGAACAGGAGAATCATGAACGCTCATCACAGAACAGAGCAAGGTGAGCATTTGTGCTTATAAAATGAAAACTTTTTTATTTATTTTTGAAATGACCGATATTTTCGCTTGATAAGACCCTTATTCATCGTCTGGAATCGTTTAAAGTGCTTTGAACAGTTTGCACTGAAAGTGTCTTTTGGACCTTGAACCGGTTGGTTCCCATTGAAGTCCATTATATGGAGAAAAATCCTGGAATGTTTTCATCAAAAACCTTAATTTCTTTTCGACTGAAGAAAGAAAGACATGGACATCTTGGATGACATGGGGGTGAGTAAATTATCAGCTAATGTTTTTTTAAAACTAATCCTTTAAGTACACAAGTAAAATAAAGTAAATAGGTAAAAATATACAAAAGAATATATATTGTTAAAATAGTATTCATGTGGTGCGATGCTTTATCTTTCTCTGATCCCCACCAGCAGTCTTTGATCACACTGAATCGTTTGTTTCTCCTTCCTCACACATGTGTAAGAGTCAGGCTTGCATTATTGTGGTGAGTGTGTGGGTTAAATACCATGCTGAACCACAAGGGGGCAAGCTGTATCCCAGTGTTCAGTCAGGGGTTAGCAGGACACACTCGCACCCTTCAGACAGAGGACACGACCCACCCACGCTGCGTTTTAAACCTTTACTGTCATAACGGGACGCTGTTGCTCTGAACTCCTCCATTTCAAACTCAAACTAGGCCTACTTTAAGTGTATCTTCAGGTCAATCGACTAAAACGTTTTTAACTAAATGAAACTTCACAGGCTACACACAATAGTAGGCAAAATAATGTTTTTGTATTGTACCTTTAGCCTTTAAATGTTTTAAAATGATGCATAATTCAATTAATGTGCATATATTTAGAAAATTATGAATATGCCATTATTGGATTTGTATTAATGTAATCACTAGGCCTACCAGTAACAAAAAAGTTGTGTATTGTAATTAAAAAATAAAAATAACGGTCTAAAAATGGCCTAATTTTATTTAGTGAAAATTATGTATTTAAAATCAAAATGTCTATCAATATTGTCACTTATTATGCAGCATATATTGTCATATTTTTAATGTTTGAAAGTTTTATTTTTTAAAGTTTTATTAAAGTTTTAAAGTTTTATTTCTAAAAGACTGTCCAAAAGTTCAATCAATTTATGCCTGCAGAACCTCCTGCAGAATAAATAATCAGAAACAGAGAAAACTGCACAGTGGATATTTCATGTGTATTCATGAGACCTTTGTGAGGACTCGAGCACATGAAGGTCTTATATAAACCCAGGACTGTTGAGAAACTCATGATTACTTTCAGATGGAGCCGTCGTTCCTCAAGCAGTTATAAGAAAGCCTTGTGTTTTCAATTTTAACTCTCTCTCTCAGTGTCTCTGGCCCCCCTCGACCGCGTCTGGATGTGCACCAGCTCTACGGCTGTGGAATGACGAACCACATGTGTGTCGGCTCAAAGACGCCATGATACTGGGATACGGCAACACCTCGTGTCCCGCACAGGGTCATTGTTGTAAGGGGCTGTTTTACACGACATGTTCTCAACCAAAAATAGAAAACTGTTTTTTTTTTTTGTTTGTTGTTTTTTCAACGACAATGGGGGCCTGAAAATACCAGTAGCACCTCATTGCAGTACACAAGATCCAGGGGGCGGAGTCGGATCCAGATCCGAGGGGTGGAGTTGGGTAGTTTTAGGGATCAAGGGTGGAGCTGGGTATGTTTAGGGTTGGGTTTAGGGATCGGGGTGGAGCTGGGTATGTTTAGGGTTGGGTTTAGGGATCAAGGGTGGTGCTGGGTAGGTTTAAAGGTGGGTTTAGGGATCAGGGGGTGGAGCTGGGTAGATTTAGGGTTGTGTTTCGGGATCGGGGTGGAGCTAGGTATGTTTAGGGGTGGGGTTAGGGATCAGGGGTTGGAGCTGGGTGGGTTTAGGGTTGGGTTTAGGGATCGGGGGTGGAGCTGGGTAGGTTTAGGGGTGGGTTTAGGGATCAGTGGGTGGAGCTGGGTAGGTTTAGGGGTGGGTCTGGGGATCAGGGGGTGTAGCTGGGTAGGTTTAGGGTTGGGTTTAGGGATCAGGGGTGGAGCTGGGTTGGTTTAGGGTTGGGTTTAGGGATCGGGGGTGGAGCTGGGTTGGTTTAGGGATCAGGGGGTGGAGCTGGGTAGGTTTAGGGTTGGGTTTAGGATCGGGGGTGGAGCTGGGTTGGTTTAGGGATCGGGGGTGGAGCTGGGTTGGTTTAGGGTTGGGTTTAGGGATCGGGGGTGGAGCTGGGTTGGTTTAGGGTTGGGTTTAGGGATCGGGGGTGGAGCTGGGTTGGTTTAGGGATCGGGGGTGGAGCTGGGTTGGTTTAGGGATCAGGGGGTGGAGCTGGGTAGGTTTAGGGGTGGGGTTAGGGATCAGGGGGTGGAGCTGGGTAGGTTTAGGGTGGGGTTAGGGATCAGGGGGTGGAGCTGGGTAGGTTTAGGGGTGGGTCTGGGAATCGGGGGGTGTAGCTGGGTAGGTTTAGGGTTGGGTTTAGGGATCAGGGGTGGAGCTGGGTAGGTATAGGGGTGGGTCTGGGGATCAGGGGGTGGAGCTTGGTAGGTTTAGGGTTGGGTTTAGGGATCAGGGGTGGAGCTGGATAGGTATAGGGGTGGGTTTAGGGATCAGGGGTGGAGCTGGGTAGATTTAGGGGTAGGTTTAGGGATCACGGGGTGGAGCTGGGTAGGTTTAGGGTTGGGTTTAGGGATCGGGGGTGGAGCTGGGTAGGTTTAGGGGAGGGTTTAGGGATCAGGGGGTGGAGTTGGGTAGGTTTAGGTATATGTAAGATGGGAGGAGTTGGATCTGGATCTGGATCTGACTCCTCCCCGTGGATTTCATGTTCTACAGTGAGGACCATCTCGAAATTACAAACATTTGAAAACGGGTTTCAAAGTTGAAGGTTAGCCCTATGACAATGATGTAGGCCACTAAAAAACAGAAAAGTTTTTCCCAGTTGGGGTTTCAGCGAAAAAATCGGCAGCTGACAGCAGGAAGTAGCTGCCACTGGCAGCCGACAGCGCTACCAAATTAGGATCGACCCAACGTAGCAGCAACCAATCACATGTAACTGGAAGTCAAGCAGCAGCAGTCAATGGTGGCGGCGGCGATAGTAAATACTATTAGATTAGTACTACAAATGTAAAAGCCTTTATTTCAAATCATACTTTGCTATCATTTAAGTTTACTATCATTTAAGTCATTAATGAGACAATGTTCTTTTTCTCCTTTTAGCAGGACTTTCATTATTTAAGTTGAAATCATGTTTATTTATATTTGATAAATACACAGTTTGATTCCAAAGGCATTTCTTTCTGTATGTATATATATTTAATTATTTAACAAACATGTACACTCATTCATAAATTATATTTACAGCTATTTATACACATACAAATTCATAACTTCAAGTGTAGCTTATTGGATTGTCTATAATCTTTGTTACCCGATTTATATTTGATAAACCTTTTTTAATCAAATAATAAAAAAATTAATTAATAATAGAAGTATTTTATTTAAATTATATATATATATATATATACACACTGCTCAACAGTATATAAATATATTTTTAGTATATTCAACTTATACAAGTTGATATAATAATTTATTTGCCTAGCTAATTGTAGCATCTACCTCCAAATTTCGGTTATTTGCGACATCTGACGTCCGGTTTTATTGGCAGGCATGGTCGGCTGCTGATTTTTCGCTGAACCCCCTCTCGTTTTTCCTTTGCTTTTTTTTTTTGCATACAGGCGAAAATGTTGTCAAAACGACCCACGATGTCAGTTTGTAAACAATACTGTTTACATTGACCACGTTTTCACCTGTATGCAAAAAAAAAGCAAAGGAAAAACATTTCTGTTTTTTAGTACATTATTGTAATGTACCCTTGAACTTTGCAAACCGTTTTTAAATGTTTGTATTGAAACATTATGCGCCTAAAAACTGAAAAACATAACACGTATGACGTCAGTTTTCACAAATTATTGTTTTTGTGTAGTTTACAATATCGGTATCTGTAGTAGTGTAGGAATAGGATGGTGTAGGTAACAGTATCTTTTTAAAAACTTGCACTTTGAAATCTGTTTTCAAAATTTTGCAATTGTCGTTGGGTAAATGAACGGCCAAAACGCATAAAAAGTGTTGGGTAAACGGCCCCCAAGTTTTTGAAAACGATACCTTTGTCGTCTCGTGAATTAAGTCATGTGTGTTACGTGTTGCGTAGTGTTTCTTTACAAACTACAAAGTGAATCCGCCAACTACTGGCCTGGCAGTGTATTGGAGCTTTTGTTCTTAGTGGTATTTTATTTACCAGCTCTGATGTATCTGGAACTTTGTGAGTGAAATGAAATGCTCATATGAAAGAACTACATTTGCTGATCACAGGGAAATTATGGTTAAATACACAGTAGCTGCAAGCGACAATTACAGGGCTAAGAACGTACATAGCGCCCCTAGTGGTGAGTGTAATTCAAAAGCTATTGATCAATTATTGCATCAGCATTTAAATACATATTTTCAACACAGCAACCCCTGGGTTCTTCCTTATGAATAATATGATGAATGGTTTGGTTTGGATGATGGAGAATGATATAATGGCGATGAAGAACCAATCAAAATTCATATAGTGCTAAACTACACTCATATGTATCTGAATTGCGTATGCAATTTCCATCCATTTGGATCACACAGTTTTATTACAAACAAACTTTTACATTTAGTGTGATTAATGATACATAATCATACATAAATTAAACTGGTAAGAAACATATAGATTTCTGTAATATTAGTAATAAACTGAAAGAGTTTTAAATACACAATACCAAGTTTATATTTTTATCATATTATCATCAATAAATCCAATTTCTTTCAATTGCATACATTTTAATTATTGGAATATTGCTTGTTCGGCAGGTAATCATATTTTAACAAAATATAAGCAAATAGTTAATAATAAACTATTGTTGAGTCCCTGTTTGATTTACATAAATTAGAAAAACGTTCATTAGTTTAAACTGCATAATCCAAATAAATGGAAATATTATATGCAATATTTAAAAAAAATACATGAACAAATAAATAAACAAATTACTCTGGCACTATTCATATTATTAAGCAAAATTTAATGTCTAAAAAGGGCCTAATTTTAGCCACTTATTATTCTGGATATTTTACCATATTGCCATATTTATATAGTCTGACGCTATAAAATACTCAAAAAAGTTGAAAATAAGTCAAAAAGTTCAAAGCTTCAATCAAAGATTACTTTTTCTAGTAACAAGTAAGACATTACTTTTAAATTCACAAGAACATACTGTATCTGAGTTACTTTTCCAAATAAGTAATACAAGTTTCACTTTTTTCCCATTTATTGACCTCTACAGCATTAGTTTGCATTCCCTTTAGCATAAGGCTTATTATTTGTTTCTTTTTGGTGTGAAAAGGCCTTTACATTTGCCAAAAATATTACTTTTTTGTCAAGCAGGCCCAGGTGAGAAAAAGTAACATAACACAATTAGTACAATTTTAACAGAGTAACGCAATAATGTAATGCATTACTTTTAAAATCCTCCTGTGGTGAAAATCAAGTTTTTAATGTTGTTTATAAGTCTATGTGGTGTTTTTAATATGCTTTAACACAAATCATAATGAAAATTCATAAGTCAACACCATTGCTGAGTATTTATATACTATAACCAATAAGTGGAGGCGTGGCTCATTTGTATATTCATAGAACCGTGTATGGAGGCGGGGCTCATTTGCATATTACTAGAACTGTGTATACTAAATGAAGCGAGGCTGTAGAGTTACATTCAAGCTATTTTAAGGCATGAAGACATTTTTTTCAAGAAAAAAAATAATCATTTAATTATGTAATTTTGGTGATAAAAGATGAGTTTAAATGGATAAAATTATTGACTACAGTTCCCCAACACTGTTCATTAGTAATATGAGAGTGGCATCTTTGTATGTCTAAAGTCTTCAGTTCAAGCCTAATTAAGAAAGAAATCTGTTTTAATTGATGTATGATTATGTTAAAACTGTGTAATCCAAATGGATGGAGATTTGATATGCAACTCAAATGCATAGGCCTACATCTGAACATGTTTGAGTGCAGACAAACACACGCAGACAGACAGGAGAGCGGTGGTACCTGAGATCTCATGCTGTCTCAGCTCATTGTACTTGTAGGCCTGCTCCATGGGCCTGATGGAGCTGTGGTAGATCTTCCTCAGCCTCTGCAGTGCAGCTGAAGGAGGAAAACACAAGAGTAAACAGAGTATGACATCTAGCTCCAGGCGGAGAGAGGAAAGACTGCAGATGGTGTTGTGGATAAAGGAGGAAATGAGAGGAGCCGGCAATGTAAACAAACCTAAAACATCTACGTGCCTTTCTGAGGTAGTACATCAGTTTGGAACTGATCTGCTGAGTTAGATAACCACTTTCTCCTGGTAGTTGATATGACACGTGGAGTAAATTGTTGCACTCGTTTATGGCAAGTTCAATTCACAAGCGGCGATGACTCAACGCGTTTTCATGCTTCCTAACCGACAATCTGCTCATATGGTCGTTGTCTTCTGTTTTATTTTAGCAGGGTTATTGTTTTGTGGCAGATAAATGCTGGTGTGATTGTAAAAACAAGTTACTTAAAAGTTTTAGTTTTATAGCGTATTAATATTTTGAATAAGTTTTTATTTTCAGTTTTAGTCTTAATTTTAATTTAACTTTTTTTTGTTATGTAATTAACATCTTTTTAAATTCTTTCTCTCTCTCTCTCTCTCTCTCTCTCTCTCTATATATATATATATATATATATATAGTTTTATTTCAATTTTTTGTTTAATTTTTGTAATTTTAGTACTAAATTTTAGTATTTCGGTTATTTACCAAGGAAACATTTCTATATATTGAAGTTTTTCAACTAATATGTACTTATATTTTTTTTTTCAGCATTATTTCCATTAATAATAATGTAATGTTTCCATTAATAAAAACTGTTTTAGAAAACAGTAAAATTACTACAGTAAATCTACAGTAAATTAACAGTAAATGTATTTATACATTTTATCATTAACTTATAATGTTACTTTTATATTAATATTAATGCATTTGTGTGTATTGATAAAAGTATAAATGGTTACCAATTTTGTAGCACATTAACAATTTGATAACACCCAGTTTTATATTTACTCAAAAGAAATATTATTCATTGTGAAAAGTGCTACACAAATAAATTTGAATTGAATTGAAATGGATTTTTATCAGGTTTAGACACTAAGATTACTAATTAGTATTAATAATAATGGGTAGGATTCAAATTTTTCAAATGGCTTCAGCTTATGTTTTCTTTATAATGTCAATCTTAATATTTTTCTTCTAAACTACAAATGTAGCTGGGGATTTTCTTTTTTTTTTCTTTTTTTTTTTTTTAGGAATGGGAGTTTTGCAAGCAGATCCTCATATTCCCGTGTCCTCGGCATTGAAAACTCTTGGTTTAGACCAGGTGGTTAAGTTGTTTTCTTTTCAGCAGACTAGTGTGAAATGTTGCTCAACCCAATGTTGAAGACAACATTCATCTACCAACATAGTGTGAAAAGCCTGTAAACTGAAATAAATTATGTTTATGTGTGTATCATGTCCTCACCAGCATAATCTCCTGCTTTATCATCTGCTGCGAGCCTCAGAGTTTCCTCGATGTGAGATCTGTCTCTCAGGATGGATTCCAAAACAGCTTCCTCCTCTGCAGAGATACACACACACATTAAAACTTGATTTGAAGCCTGAGGAAATCTTTTCCGGCGAGCCAGACCGGAGCAGAATTGACTGCAGCAGATCTTCCTGAGGTCTCTGTGATTAGTATCCTTTGATACAACCGTTATTTTAGTCTCTGCCAAGGTGCCTCGACAAGGTATTTGTTATATACGAGCTGATGGCTGTGCCGCTGGATTTACAAAGAGTTTTACAGACTTTCAAACACCTTGTAAAAAGTTCATTTGACCATGAGAGTGTGATTGCTGCCTCAGATTGTAAAAGCAATGCTCGCAATTATTTTTGTGCAAACAGTGACTTTTTTCCCTTCAGGATTCTTTGATGAATAGAATGTTCAAACAAACAGAATTTATTTTTTGTAACAACATCACATTTATTTTAGAGTATCAAATCTGAATTAACAAAAAAAAAAAAAATCGAACAATGATTTGATCCTGAAGAAACATTTCTTATTATTATTAATATTAAAAACAGTTGTGCTGCGTCATATTTTTGTGTGGAAAATGTGTTTATTTTAGGATTCTTTGATGAATAGAATGTTCAAAAGAACAACATTTATTTTTTGCAACAACGTAAAACTTTTACTTTGATCAGACTTTCAGAGTTTCAAATCTGAATTTAAAATGAAATTAATTTCTTCTTAATGTTGAAAACAGTTGTGCTGCTTGCTAAGTATTTTTGGGAAACTGATAGCCTACTTTTTTAGGATTCATCAATGAATTAAACTAACTTGTCTTAAAATAAATATTATCATAAATGCACTAATTTCTTTACTAAAACTACTTGGGCATGGCTTTCATTTACAGTTTCAAAAAACATTTTCAAAAAACAAACCTACTGGCCTGGCATGATAATACAGCATTTCAGCAATCCGTGCGATCGTTTTGACAACGTATTGTCCTAAAGACAAAAAGAACCATAAACAAATCAACGCATTTTCATCCTTTAGCGTCATATAGAACGCTATATGACAAAATGGCGCTATACTGCACACGACACCCGTTATCGTTAATATAACACGCGCTGTGATGGGTAGGTTTAGGTGTGGGGTAGGGTAGGGTAGTCTCATATTACGCTAAAGGATTTATTACGACTTGGGTTCGCGTGTTATATTAACGATAAAGGGTGCCATGTGTGTAGTATAGCGCCGTTTTGTCCAACCCGATCTCACGACCAAGTCGTACGAATTCGACGAATGATTAAAAAGGGGCTAATTCGTACGAATTCATGTGACCTCACTCGTACAAATTAGTACGATTTTGCTAAATTGTACATATTTTACGAATTGGCCAATTTGTATGAATTCGTACGAATGACCTACCCCTTACCCCGCCCCTAAACCTACCCATCAAGTGGGTTTGGACAAATCGTACGAATTCGTACGAGTGAGGTCGTACGGATTAGACATTTTTAATCATTCGCCGAATTCGTATGAAAAGGTCGTGAGATAGGGTAAGTTTTGTCATATAGCGTTCTATGTGACGCTAAAGGATGAGAACGGGCTGAACAAATAGCATCACACAATCTAAAAAAAAACCACATAATCTGAGCTATCATTCATATCCATAACTCAAGTTAACACAGGACGCAAAAGTAGTAATGCTTTCATTATCGTAGCGGTTATGAACAGTTATTTGCCGTCAGCATTCGTCTAGCACGCTTCTCGTCAGGGCATTGCTGCACTATTAATGTCACAATATTGATATTCATGCTACAATCTTCCACAGTCATTGTTCATAGATATTTGCCCACAATGCCTCAGGGTGTTCCTGCCAGGCTGCTGTTATCAGGAGCGAAGACATAAATGGAGTCTAATGGGAAGACATCATGTCTCCATGTTTATATTTAGCAGCGCTGCCATTCATTACAAGCTCTTCTCATATTAGCTGCATGACATCTCTTTTGGAGGAAGGAAGTGAGGAGAACACAACAACATCCATTACATTTCCTGTTTAACAATACATTTCAATTTGGTTTTAACAGTTTGGCTTTGATCAGGCTTATTTCAGAGTATCAAACCTGAGTTTGAAATTAAATGATGATTCGCTGCTCAAGAAACTTTTTCAATGTTGAAAACAGTTGTGCTGCTTCATATTCTTGAGGAAATCGTAATACATTTTTGTCAGGATTCTCTGATTAATAGAAAGTTTAAAATAACAGCAATTTTTTTAATTAATTTTGTAATAATGTAGTCTTTGTAATACTCAAGTCTTTGGCTGTGTCCAAAATTGAACTTCTCTACTATAGTAAGGTGAAAACAGTACACCAAATGCGTAGTTTTTCCGAATATTATTTATCCAGCAAACAGTTCCCGGATAAATTCATGGACAATTGCGTGACAGGTATGATTCAGTTTTATTGCACTTCACGAATCTGAAATCGTGCCCTACACCCTTAAATAGGGCACTATTTGAGGATATACAGCCATTTGTAGTGGTGTCCGAAACCATAGTGTTACATTATTGTGTATACTCATTCAATCCCATAATGCACCGCAATAACGAGAGTACATCTGATGTACACTCAACGGCTAGAGAATACCCATAATGCACTGCAGTGTCGATCATACCGAATGAATTCCCGTTTCTGACCAGAAGATGGCGCTTGCAGCCGAATCCATTTTCCAAACCTCTGGTCCAATGTGGCCACAGTGTAAAATCACACAGGTATAAATTCCATTTTAACTGATTATTAAATTGTTTATTTAAGATTTATACATGCTAGTTTCAGTTCAAGATAAATCTTTTCATTAGTACCAACTGGAGCTGCCAGTTTTCTACGTTTCAAATGATTATTAATCAGCACAAACTACGCTGCAGCACTTGAAGCGAATTCTCACTCTTGAAGCTGAAAACTCACTCATTTTCATTCACTCCTTCAAATGGACTTAGTGGAATAATGTAGGCAATAGTGAATGAGGGTATAGAGGAGCGTTTTCGAACACAGCACATCTCTGCATACGAGGTATAGGTACTTTACTCTCCCATGAGGCCACGGGAGAGGATTTGTGAATGGCCGTGAAGCGACGCAACCGACACTGGTAGATCACATTATATTGACAACATGGCAAATGTAGTACGTCTAGATTCATACACACTATTACTACTCATATCCGTCTTATTTGAGAGTTTTAGACCAAAAAATAACTGCTCAAGCGTAGCCGCGAGTTGGTGTATATGGGGGATTCCCTGGTTTCATAACAAGTAGAGCTTCAGTGATGGACACATGGCTACCAAATGGTTGGATTATCTGTTGATAAGACCGATAACAGACCCCTCATCCTAAAAATAACCAGTGGCCAGTTGCCCTTATGAACCCCAGAGCACACACTGATCGCAGCACTCATACTGTTTTCTGTACAGGTTTACCACAGGGCACTTGACAATTTACTCGTGTGTAAAAATCCTACCATACATTATGCACTATGGTATCTTTTGAATCGAATATCATATGTTTAGGAGTTTAAGTTGATTTCAAAAGTGTATTTTAAATAACTGCGTGCATATAAAGACTAATGGTAACTATGGAGATGCTTATGAACAAACAAATGTAGCCTAATGGAGACAAAGTACAGAATAATATTCACATTTTTTTAGATAAATTAATACTCCTATTCAGCAAGGACTCATTAAATTGATTAACGTTACAAAATATTTATATTTCGAATAAATCTAGTTATTTGAACTTTCTATTTATCAAAACAATAACAATAAAGCTTTGCACAAATATATAAGCAGCACAACTTCTTTCAACATAAATAATAATCAGAAATGTTTCTTGAGCATCAAATCATCACATTAGAGTGATTTCTGAAGGATCATGTGACACTGAAGACTGGAGTAATGATGCTGAAAATACAGCAGGAATCAATCACATTTTACTATATATTCACATATTTGAAACAGTATTAATATTCCAAAATATGACTGGTTTTACTGTATTTTGAATCCAATAAATGCAGGCTTGATGAGCAGACTTCTAAAAACAGAAGAACGGTGTGTATCACCAAAATTTCAAGATAGCTACTCTCATTACATAATTGTTCATTTTAAAGCAAGACACGAAACAGCAGACCTGTTAACTTTATCTATTTGCAAAAAAACTCACAAACTAATGTGATTCATGTGAAGTACTTGTTACTATGCAGCTTGCCTGGAAAGCTCTAGAAGTTCAGTTTACATGCCGTCCACCGCATCTGTCACCCCTTCCCACAATCCCCCTACTGGCCTGTACAGATAAACGGCATATTCATTTTGTTCTCGGGTGTCCACCGGCATTTATTTGCTTATTTGAACCTGACTTAGGCATGCACCAGCCTTCCTCTCTGGCTCTCGACGTAAATAACTGGCAGCTCGAGTAATATATGCTTCATCAACCTGCAGCAAACGTAGAAACCATCTGTGGATGAGGCCAGCATTCTGCTTACATCTTTCCAGGATAACATCCAGAGTTCACCTCAGGCTGCTCAAACTGCAGTTTGAGATAAATAACTGAATTTGAATCGAATTGAACTAAAGTGCAATTGAAACTTCAATTTTCAAGGAGGAAGCAACACATTATACTAAATGGGGAAATCACAGTCAAAATAAGACACACTGGTGTTTGCCAGATCATCTTTTTAACATTTTAATTCATATTACTCGAATTTATTTGATCTCCTTTAATTCCCCCTGCTTTTATTTTGTGTCTATTTTCTATGTAAAGCTCTATGAATTGCTATAGTGTGATTATTATAATTCCTTTAGAGCTTTTGAATAACTGTTTGAATTTTCCTTGCTTTTATTTTGTGATTATTTCCTCTCTATGCAAAGCACTTTGAACTGCCACAGTGATGTGCTTTATAAATAAACGTGCCTTGCCTAAATTAAACTAAAAAAGTATGTACTGTACACACACACACACACGCATATATATGAAGAGTTCAGATGCAAAAGCTTCTAAATGCCATTTGAAATTTTCTTCTTTAATGAT